CAGTGCTTCAGTAGTCTGGGTTCCATGGAAAAGCACCTAGTGTTACCAACTATAGCATGCAAGAAAGTGTTACCTACTCCATTTAAAAGAAAACAAAAGGGTTGTCAGAGGTTTTTTCATTTTTTAATTATAGGCTAAATTAGTATTTTCTCTTTTGCCATGATTAATTTATATAAATGGAGTGAAAGATGGAGTTGTTGTCCCAAAACACTTAATGAGAATGAAGCATCTATCCCATCAGCTGTATTTCAAATATCAGTTCAGTTATCTGGTTAAAAACTTCATTGGATGTTCAAATATAGGAGATTTGGGTAGTCTCAGCTCCTCTTGTATGGTTGGAAGAAAAAACACAGCTCTGAATTTTTTTCCAGAGGGTAAATCAAAAGTGGCTTGATTTAATGAAATTCACTGTGCTCCGCATTTGCTCTGTCTAGCTGCCCTCCTGCCTCTCTGAGGAATTCCACACACACTGCATCACGTGTGCCTCCACTTCATATTGAAATTGCCATTACCACATGAGGAACTCCTGCTTCCTGCCTTGCTTTTGTTCTGCTCCTCACTGGGGGGATCTCACTTACTTCACTACCCTTAGGAAAGGGGTATTTTTTGGTCATACCATCGTGTTAAATCTGCTCACCCAAGGCCTGACAAAAGTCAAGGAAGATGGAAGGGTTAACACCTGGTTAAGTCTTGAAGAGTTCTTCAGTGCCTGCAGTTCATGAACCTCAGATGCTCAGCTAAACTGGAGCAGTGGAGCAGGAAGATTTTGTCCAGAGCAGAAACTGCCAGTGTTAAAGAAAACAAACCATAGCCCTTTTTCTGTAGCAATAAGTTCTCTATGGCATGAAGAATCATCTAAGAATCATCTAAAATGGTTTGGGTTGGAAGGGAACTTCAAAGGTAATCTAATTCCAACCCCCTGCCATGGGCAGGAACATCTTCATGGATGGAGCCCCATATAAACTGGGATGGATCCTAAATTTCTCTGGGCAACTGGTGCCAATGTTTCACCATCCTCATGGTAAAAAACCCCTTCCTTATATGTAGTCTAAATCCCTTTCAGTTTAAAACCATTACCACTCATCCTGTCACAACAAGCCCTGCTAATAAGTTTGTCTCCATTTTCCTCTAAGCCCCCTTTAGGTGCTTTCAGAAGAGTTGTTACCAACTCAATTTAAAAGAAATCAAAAGGGTTGTCAGAGGTTTTTTTCATTTTTTAATCATAGACTAAATTAGCTTTTTCTCTTTTGCCGTGCTTAATTTATATAAACATTTATCTGGAAATTGTTTTACAAAATAATATAGAGACTAGCAGAGCTTAAAATATTGCTACCCATCACCCAAAATATGACAGCACTTGAAATCAAAGTTAGAATTAAATATAGCCAGTGACAAGTGCATTCAAACTGTTCTGACAGACAAGTAGAAGGAAACATGTTCATAAGATTAAGTAATTGTTTATACAGTTCAGAAATTACTGGAAATAGTCAAAAATAGCTAAATACAGAGCAGGCTATTTGAGAAGATCTGCTTAAGATTTTTGAGAGGAAAACACATACAAATTCTTTGTTGTGGAAATGATAGTGATAAATTTGTAGTGACAGGAATTAATTGAAAGGTGTTTACAGTATGGAAAGGCCATGCTTGAAGTGTTTGAAAATGGCTTTTAAACCCAGAATTTCCTTCCTGTTCTCTATACCACATGAAACAAGCAAGGATAGCAGCAGTAAAACTTCTGTTGGCAGGACAGACTGTGGATAGAAAAGTTTGGTTTGTTGCTTGTTTTTGGGTTTTTTTATTACTTTGATGGTTTATTTAAAGCTAGAAATAGTGTTGCTAAGCTGCAGGTAATAAATTAATCTTATTCACAGCTGATAATCTGAGGAATGATAAGGAATTTTGCTATGCTTTTCAGATTTCAAATATAACTTTTAAGGGCAGATCAGACTGAAACATTCCAGTTAATAGAAGTGGGCATCATTATAACAATAGAATACTCTGAACTGGGTTTGGCAACAGCATTGTGGTAAAGAATTTGGCAGAGCATTATACTTTTTATTACCTGAAGTGATCAGTTATCTCATTTTCTTGCTCCAATCCCAGTTCAGCTGCAGCCAATAAAAACCTTGAGAGGACCAGGATCAAATGCTTCAGAGCTCACATTTTCATCAGCTGTGGTGAGGAAATGCACTTCCACATGGTACTTTGGTTTTGCTGTTCCAATGAATTCACAAAAATCCCAACAACCCCCTGCCCTATAAATGCATAATTGATAGAACATACAGCAGGCTTTCTTATTGCAGCAGTAAACAGGTTCAGTGATTTATTTTTCAACTGACACAGCCAGAGATCACTTTCCTGACCCTTATAATTTGCCCCAATTAATGAACTGTCTTGTTTTGTAAAAGGTTGCATGCTGTAATCTTCTGTGATGCTGAAAATGTTATTCTGGAAAATTGTTCAAGGCAATGGCTAACAGCACTTAGAGTGACACGTTTAAAACAGAATATTTGTGTTTACCAGTGTTTTCTTTAGACAGTTCTGTTTCCAACTGTCATAGTAGATCTCTGTTAAATCACTTAAAATCCACTGTCTTTCCTAAAGGTCCTGCAAAGAAACACCAAAATCAGAACACTGACAGTTTAAATCTCTATACAAGTTAACTTGCTGCTGCTTTGCTCCTCAAAAATCTTCCTCCTCCTCTTCCTCCTTAATCACAAAATGCTTTGGATTGGAAAAGACCTTAAAGATCATCCAGTTCCAGACAGCTTGCCATGGGCAGGGACACCTTCCACAGGACCAGGTTGCTCCAAGCCCCATCCCACCTGGCCTGGAGCTTTTCCAGGGATACAGGGGCAGCCACAGCTTCTTCACAGGGCAGCCTGTGCAGCACCACCCTCACAGCAAAGGAATTTTTCCCAATATCCAATCTAAGCCTGGTCTCTGTCAGGGTCATTTGCTGCTTTATGTATTCTAATAGCAACTCCATTTTCAAAAGAAGCTACATGTAAAATTTGCAAGCATGGCAAAATAAATGAATTTGAATTTTAATCTAAATTCATAACTCCCTATAGTCTGTCTCTTGATTTTGCCTCTGTTAACCCTGCTGAATTATGATTTCTAAAGAGAAACCAGATACAAGGTAAGGGGGGGCCAGGAGTCAGTGCATGAAAGAAGGAAAACAAACTCAACCCAGACAAGTGGCATTCAAAGGAATTCTGTCCCTCTACAAGGACAGGTAAGTTTACACTGTATTCAACTCAATTTCAAACTTTGTTCCTTCTTTGCAAAAGGCAGGATGTGTCTCCCAAATTATCACGCTGTGTGCAACCAGTGTTTGAATGTCAGTCCTGCACATTCTCAGGGTCTAAGGTGCAGACTCCTTGAGTAAATTTGAATGTTTTCCTCTACTGAAAGGGCACTTTACTGCCCAGAGCACTACACCATTGATGTTTAACAGTTACACCCTCTTAAGTTTTTTTTATTAATTATGAAGGATGAGATTTTTCTTGCATTTGATGGAATCAGCTGCAAATAATTTGTAGGAACAGTAGAAAAATCAAATTTCCAGTGATTGAATGGGATTCTGTACGATTTCTGTAGTGTGTTTAAAATTTGCCTTTGCCAGATGTCTGTAGCAACATTACAGAATCTCTGAATGGTCACAAGCCCTGTGAAATCCCTTTCCTTTGCAGTGCTCCTGTCAGTTCCATAAGTTTGTAATTTTTGAGTCCCAGGAAAAAATTAGGTAAAAGTGTGCCCTAGAGCTCAAAATGCACATTAAAAAAATTGAAAAATTGTTAGCTAAATGAAAGTGAAACATGGGAGAATGTTTTTGCAAGCTTATGATTGCATAGCTTGTCATAACCTTGTATTTTGATAATCAACAGTGACCTCACACAATTCATTTATTTCAGTCTTACAGAACTTCAAGAACTTCCAAATGCTTTCACAAGTAGGGCAAAAGGGAATTGAAACATCCCAACATGGGGATTCCCCCATCTCTCAACAAAAAAAAAGGAGGTGGAGAGAGATTTGTGACTCACCAAAAGCCAAATTGGATGGTGAAGCTTTGTGAACAGGAACAGCAATGGCACTGCTACCAACTGCCTTGTATTTGTTTTTCAAAGGGCAAGACTTCATTGTGCAGCACTGTCAGTGTGCCCCCTTTACATTCCAAGACTTGAAGTGTTTCCATCATTACAAAGACATTTACAGATTGAAAAATCTCAATTTTCTGCATCGCGCTCAAGAACACCGTAGCTTCCAGTATGTTAAAAACAATAAGATTCAGTGAAATATTTCACATTCATTTCAACCCTTAATCCTTTAACTTATAAAGTGGATTGTAGGCACCAAATTGAAATAGAATTTGCTGTTGTCAGCATTGACTCAATGAGGAAGGGAAAAAGAAGATGTAAAATTCACGGTGGCTACAGCTATAGAGACAGAAAGTGTCTTGACACCGAGAACAAATAACTCCCAGGAGTTCTTGACTCTTGATTTTTGAGCTCATATGATGTTTCATTCTACTTAAAGGAATCATTTTGTCATCCCTTTAGTGGAAGACACATTTATTAAAGTGCTTCTAGGGGGTAGGTTGGGCTTTGGTTTGAAAGTTAAGTGTTTCTCTCTACATTTCAGTCTTTAAACCATGAAAGAAACATTAGCTGTGAAACCTGAGTATCTTTTTAAAAAGGGACAAATCTCTGGCTTTTTGCTCAACATGCACTGGCCCACAGTATTCTATTTCTTCTCTTTGACCTGTTCAACATCAAAACAATTTGATGCAATTGTGCTTTGCCTGAATTGGCAGTGTGCCACATAATGAATGCTTCATTTTGATGCAAAATTATCATCATAAAAATACAACCAATTAAGTTGTGTGACCAGCAATGTCTAAACCAAACCAGTGTAACCCACTAGCCGTACTATAAATATATATATTTATATATATATTAACATATATATTTATATATATTTATTTATATATATGTATATATATTTTTTGACAGATCAAGCCATGAAATAATTTTTGCACTCAAGTCCATTACAAGAATGAATAAAAAATTCACCTAGCAAAGAAGTGAATATGTCAAACAACAAAGTAGACTTCCTATGGTGGTTTAAAATATTAAGTCACAAAAAATAGCTAGTGTCAATATGAGCAATTAAAATACTGTTCTTTCTGAAGAAAAAGAAGATGAAACTATTAATGAAACATCAATAGTTTGATGGGAAGGCTCATAAGGAAGAGGGCAGCAGTGCAAGACTTGCTCTTTCTGCATTCTCTCCTCTTGGCCCAGTGCCTTTGTGCAATGAACAGTCCTGCAGCCTTTGTGCCAGGTGCCCTCTTTTCCCAAACGGGAACTTCGCTCCTCCCTCGTCGTCCAGAAGATCTTTCACATTTCTGTAAATCATCTTGCAATATGCAAGGAAAGCGCGCACTTTTTTCAAAAGCATGTTACGTTCCAGCATCCCGCCCCGAGCCCAGCAGCAGGTGCTGCCTAGGGGCCAGGGAGGGACATGGACTTTCTGAAGAGCCGGGGGTGCCTGGGGGGCCCTGGGTAAGGGGGTGGGGGCACGGCGTGCTGGCCATCAGAGACCACTGCCTGCTCGTAGGTGGGCAGCTCCGGGTCCCCGGGAAGGGGGCTCAAGGAGAACTCCTCGTGCCTCCTGAAGATGTTGGCTGAATTCCTTCTTCTGCTCCTCACATACCCCATGTACCTAAACAAAGGCAACAGCAGGTGAGTGGAAAGTTCTGCTTTAAAGGGAAGCAAGAAGATGAAGTATTGTGTTTGTGGGATGGCCCAATGAAGGGAAGAATGATGAACGTGGCTCCATGTTCTCAGAAGGCTAATCTATTATTTTATGATACTATGTTATATTAGAGAATGCTATGCTAAACTATGCTAGAGAATACCGAAAGGATACTTACAGAATGCTAAAAAGCTAATACATAATAAATATAAGCTATATAATATATAAGCTAGCATAATAAAAAGCTAATATAAATAATGAAAACTCGCAACTCTCTCCAGAGCCCCAACACAGCTCGGCCCTGATTGGCCAAAGAGTGAAAACAACTCACAGCAGAATCCAATGGAACAATCACCTGTGAGTAAACAATCTCCAAACACATTCCACATGTGAGCACAACACAGGGGAAGCAAATGAGATAATTCTTGTTTTCCTTTTTCTCTGAGGCTTCTCAACTTCCCAGGAGAGAAATCCTTGATGAAGGGATTTTTCAGGGAATGTGAATGCCACAATTAAGTCTTTAACACAAAATAAACAAAACCCCAAACAACCCAAAAAAACCACACAAGAGAAAAACCATGCTTTCAGTGATCACAAAGACCAGAATACTTTCTCCAAACCACAGGGTAAGAACAGCTCAATGATGTGACATTTATAGGGAAGAGGAAGCACAGAATCCTTTTATATTCCTTTCAAGATTAGGACAAAGGAGCATTCAGGAGTAGAGACTTGGTAAAAAAGCATTTCCTCCACACTGCTTCATCATCTACTACCACAACTACTTCACATCTGAGGCAGAGCACATGCCATGAGAGCATACAGCTTATTTGAAAGCACCAACAGAACATGTTAGACTTCCCACTGCAGGCCAATTTTTCCATCATCTTAGTAAGAATATTTTGAAGTGAAGAACACACACACACAATTTAAAAAAAAGGCAAACCCAAAGGTTTGGGAGTGCAATATTGTTTTATGTTTTTGTGTTATTAACTACAGCTGGTGCTCACTTAACTTTACTTCTACGCAAATAAGAACTCGAACTTCCACTGCATTTTCTGAGAACACAATAGCTAGACCAACCCACAGTGATTTTTAAACACCACTCTTAAGCAAGAGTTTGTTTTGTGCGTGTTTGGGTTTTTTAAGCAGTGCAATTCCTTACCCTGGTGGCTGCCTTGATTTGCATCTGCTCTTGCAGCAGTAGAAGACAATCAGTCCAATTATAACCAACAGCCCTCCAGCAGCAACCAGGCTGATGAGCAGCCCTGTGACATTAATCTTCTGCAGTGCCTCATCACCTGGAGAGAAAACATGGGTGATTTCCATTCTGTCCTTTCCATCCACCCAGCCTGCAGTGTTCACTGTAAAATACGACTTTAGCACTGCTGTCAGGCTGCTCCTTCCACAAATGTCTGACTTGCTGTAAGAAGCTTTAAATCTGAGCAACACAACCCAAGAGAATCATTCAGTCAACTTAAAACAAAAGGGAGTTGGTGCCCCCTTTTCTCTACAGGAAACTGTTGAGATGCCTGTCTTCCAAAGACTTCCAAATATTCCTTTATGTACTTGTGACCTTGATCAGATCCAACTGACCATTTTTAATTAAATAAAATTAATTAATTAATTAATTATTAAATCTAATAAAATTATCAGGCATCAGACTACTCTGAGCCTAAGTCAGGCTGTTATATATTACTATTGAAGAAATAGGGAGGAGACAAAACCAAACCAGACCACAGGAGCAGCCACAGAATCACTGCCAAGTTTACCAATTGTCTAATAAAGGAATGGTCAAGGAAATTACCTACAGACCTATACTGGAGCCCACTTTAAGATGCATCAGTTTTATCACATCAGGAAATTAAATATATTTGTACAGTTCACAGTAATCTTCAGTAGAAAGATAATTTCTGATTTCCTTAGCTGATTGCATGATCTATTAAGAATGTACTATTATAACAACCAGAAAATATTGCAATATAATAAAAAAATAAAAAGAATACTTACCTAATTTTATGTTAGGGCCTTTAATTGAATAGTCTCTCCAAAAAACCATCTATAAAAACCAAAAAGAATCAGATTAATCAGATTTATATGAGATAAATAAGTTACAGGTTATATTTAATTTGGTACCTTGGGCAGAATTTAGCAGTGGCATAAACAGAAATAACTCCTGCTGAGGGATTTGTATTTACTCATCCCATGGTATTTTTCTTCTACAACTTTGCATTAAAATTTCTCAGATCCCAGCTGGTAAAAGAAAAAAGTGCATTTAACTGTAGTGTTACCTCATATTTCTGCCAGATTACAATAGAAATTAGGGTATATTCTGACACCAAAAAATGCTTACAATTATTTTTTTTTCAAATCCCTACAAAACAGTATTTGAGGCAAAGCTAAATTCTTAAAATTCCAACATTTGAATTCACATCAGCTAGGAAAAATAGTAGGATCCATTTAAGAGAAGAAATTTAATATTTTATGACCATCAGGCATTAAATATGTTGAGTTATAATTTTCACTTTTGCTACCAAGCAAAAGACTCCAGCAAGATTTCATTTTAGCAAATTTGACCTTTTTCTTAGGAAATTGTTAGCAATGGCAATCTAACACTTCCACCTTTAGAACAGGGGTGAATTCCTCATTCTTTGTGCAGAGCACGCCTAGAATCACAAAAAGATTCTTGCTGCTTGTGCAACAACCAGTCTTCAGACAATCCTCACATTCCTTTACTAAGCTGAAAGGTTTCTCATTGTTTCTTTTTATATGTATGTATGTACATATATATTTAGAAACCAGGTTTCTAAATATATATAAACATATATAAAATATATAACAATATATATTTTTATATATTTATGACCTATATATATTATATATATATATATATATTTATATATTTATATATTTATATATATTATTGGCCTCTTACAAAACACTTCTGAGCACGACACAAGGAGGCAGTCAGTCAATTAATACATTTATAATTAATAATGTGAAACATTTAAACTGGATGTTGAGAAGTTACTAAAAAATCCAGAAGTCTGAAAAATCTAGGAATGGCCACAAGCGGGACTTCTGAAGCTTCATTTCTATTTGTTGGCAGAATTAAAGGCAACATCTAATGTCTTTAAGACAATATTCATATATTAAGACAACACTGATGTATTAAGGCATTATTCATATATTAAGACATTATTCAACATATTCAAGTGCATTCACTGTGTACCTAAAGCAAGAACCCCATGTAATTGGGATATCTGCTTTTAGAACAAAATAAGCAGTCATCTCTCAGTGATGTGTTAGAGGAGTTACAGTATTTGTGTACAATAATTTATGTTGCAATAATTTCTGTATAAAAATACAGTTATTTTGCCAATAACCTCCCTCATTAAATTAAATTCACTTTGAACTGCTACCGTTTTATCAGGGTCTTCAAAAATTTCTCTTGCTTCTTCATAATTGCACAGTTCTTCATTGCATTCCCTTTCCAGGTTATCAGCTGTGAATGCTTCAAAATCAAATCTGTTGTTCAGAAGATGTCGTCCAATGAATAAATTGGCCTCCCTTGCAGATGTGAACACTGATGAAGAAAACAAAAAAAAGTTGATTTAAAACAAGTTAGGAAGGCTGAATTTGTTATTTTTAAAGAATGGTAAAGATTTTAAAGGAGCACGTTGGGATAATTTCTTCCCCTAGCATCTCTCAGCTACATACAAGGGAAAGAACAAAGTCTCCTCCTAAAATTTCTTCTTCACTACTATATTTTCTAACTATGTAACGTAAAATAAATGTATTTGCCTTTCTCAAAAGCCATCTCAGCTATTCCTTATCCGGGCCAAGAGAATTTGATTGTCATGGGAACTGTTGGTCCAGTTTTGGTGTGACCCCTGGTGGGATGTGAGCAGCAGTTTTTACTGGAGCTCTTAAGAACAAAGAAATCGTCACATAAAGCAAAATTAAAGTAAGCAACACCCTGACCTAGTGGGGGAAAGAGAAAAGGGTGGGGGAAGGAAAAAACCAAATATACATTTATCAATATTCTGGTATCTGTGAGTCACAGGTTTTAGTTACAGAATTTAGTTCTTAAATTACATCAGCAGACTCCTAGTCATTCTACAATTGTTCTCCTTTCACAATCGTGGCACCAAACTTTACGTAAAGGTGCCTTATTGCCAAGTTTATTTGTTTTAAATTTGGCCATGATATGAGTTATACTGACAACATGCATTTCTGAAGATTTCTGAAAAGAAGAGATTCTCTTCTTTTGTGTTCCATGAGGCCTCATGGATTAAGTGGTGAGGTGAGATTCCAGAATAGGGAGTGAAATTATAGAAGGCTTTGGAATACAGGAATGTATTTCCTCACTAGGCATTTTCCATAGTCAAGTTTTAGCCTGCTCTTGCTACAGTTTCTTATTAAAAAAAAAAAGGAAAAAAAAGGGCAAAACCAAATTTCTAGTGAAAGCCTAATCTATGTTCACGAAATTCAGGCTATTTGGTTGAGCAAAATGACTAGAGGATTATTTTTGCAAGTGTAATGCAGAAACAGCATTGTTACACACCAAGCTGGATGGCTGAAAAAGGAGATGAGATTCAGGATAAAGTTATTCAGCTACAAATTAGCTTTGTGCTCTTGTTAGCCTGTTTGAAAAGATTATCACATCGCTCTGGAATTTTCACTCTAAGAGTCACTGTTAGATCTTGCAGTGCTCTCTCATAACACTCTGCTCTCTGAAAACTGGGAGAAGTGCAGCATAACTTACATATTGGCTGTTTATGTCTTTAATATGGTAGAATATTTAAGGAATATGACAGCATATATTTATATCATCTGCACACTGTTACACTGTGTACTGAAGGAGCTACACATATGCACGTGCATTTGGTTTTGTTATTCTAAAGCAATTGTGAGGAAATCTAAGCTTAAAATATTTATACTATACCTAAAGAGTAAGCAGAGAAAAAGACTTAACAAAAACAAAACAAAAACAAAACCCCCAAACAAACAAAAACAAAAGCCAAAATCAAAACTCCCTCAAACCCACAAGTGGAAAGGGAAAATAATTACATGGGGAAAAAAAAATATTATCAATATTCTTGGTTCAGTGCAAATTACAAAAGTAACTTCGTTCTTCTGAAGCAGAGATCTTCAGTTTTGCTCAGTAGTGTTTCACTCTTTACCATGCAAGTAGTATTAGCTGTCCTTTGAATTATCTTAGAGAACTGATGCATTTTGTTTAAAATGGAATGCATAATCAAACTGCCTGGAGCCTAGAACCCTCAATTCCCAGGGATACATGGCCCACTTTTTCTTCTTAAGAATTTTTATCCATTTATCTGCACTTTTTTCACTTTGTCACATATCTCCATCTCCAACTTACTGCTACCTGGTGATTAAAACAGTGTTTGAAAAATGAAACAGATGGATTTGAATTGAGCACCAAATGTGAGGGACCTGAATGCAGTTCTGTAGTCCTTGTTTTGACAAAATGATCCAGGCAGTTTTAGGGTGCCCAGCATTTCATTATTTAATTAAAAATGCAACCACACAATACTCTCAGTGAAGCAGCTCTGCAGGTAAAAGATGCTCAGAAAATGCTGAAGGGCGACCTCTCAATGCAGGTATCCCATACCTTTGGCAACTGTTCTTGCTAAATTATTGGATTTTATATATGTGTGTATATATATATATATATATATATAAACATAAAAATTCAATATTTTATTGGTATTACTATTATTGGATATTATAATATTAATATTATTGATATTAATTGGATACTTCTCTTTCCAACTCTGTCTTTAAAGGAGGAGTGGTCTGGGCCTATTGTGAGGAGGGAGAGCTCACAGGAGCTCACAGGGAAGGGGCAGCCTGATGTTTTATGCCCAGAGTAAGATGGATTTTAACAAATCATCTGTCACAAGCACTTTTCTGCTAGCCATGGTTTCTGCTCCTCATACTGCCCTGAGGGAGCCTCCTGCTCCATGTGATGACTTTTTAAAATCTGTCTTAAGGTTTTAGCACTCCTTGTCCACTGAGAAGACTGGACAGCTAAGGCAGAAATTTATTTTTTAAGCCCTTAAAATGCTAACCAGCCTTTGCTTTGTAGTGCTTGAGTCTCTGAGGGGAATTTATTTGTTTTTTACTTGTCTCCCTCCCTCCACAGGGAAGAACTGCAAAAGCAGCACTATGCTTCTCTTTCCAGGTGTTCTAAGGGGGCCTGGCATTGAGAGCAAATAGCAATTTCAAAAAACAACCAAATCAACCCTTTCAAACATAAAGCAGTTTCAGATATGCAAATACAACTGTGATGTGCTGAGAGAGTACCAAAACAATGCTGTCTTAACACAGGCTTCAAACTTTTCGAATTTCGACGCTACCTAAAGGATGCTGGTTGTATCAACCACAGTAATGCCAGCGGGCTGGAAAAACTTCAATTGTCCCAATCTGCACTTACGACAAGGTCTGATAAATACTTGATATGAACACCAAAGTCAATTGTTGCTCATTTCAGCAAGAGGTATTAAAATAATCTGAAATCAGGCATAAAGCAGCATAATTATGTCATAAAGTAAAAAAAACAAAACAAAAAAAAAATAACAACAAAAAAACCCCCAAAAACCAACTAAACCATAAAAAAACCAAAACAACAACTACCAAAACAACAATAACCAAACAATTAAAGAAGCCAGCAAAGCCAACTTAGAAACAATTTTGGAAAGCATAAAGTCATGTTTAAACTGAGTTACCACTTTTCCATTCCGGTTTCTCCGAGTCCTTTGATCTGCCAGGGCAGTGAGGAAAGGCGAGCACGGCCACACGCAGCTGACACAGCACCACCAACGCGGCGAGCATGGCCGGGATCTGCCAGACAGAAACTAACGTGAGTTAAGCAGCAGCGACATCGCAATCCTCTGAAGTGTCAGCGCTGAGTGAGCCCTGAGCGAATCCTGATCTGAAATCATCCAGCGCAAGCCCCTACACGCACTGGAGGCTGGCGGCTCCTGCGAGAGGCACCGACCCGAACAGGTCCTGCCTGTCTCTCGCGGAGCTCTGGTTGTGTAACGCCGCTCACGTCACCGCTCGGGCCGCCTCCTGCTCTCCCCTCCAGCGGCCCCCGGGGAAGGGCCCCGCAAGGTGGGCTCCGACACCGGCAGTGCTGCCTTTTGTAGGAGGTAACAAAATCCCCCCGACGGGAACAGGTACAAAGCCCGTTTTGTCAGAGGGACGAAATAAACCCGTAACTCTGCCCGGAGTTTAACTGTACACGGGTAAAAACAGCATCGCCACCCTAGGGGAGGGGAAACGTGCCACAGGCACTGGGGACAGCCTTCCCCCTGGGAAAGAGCGGGACCGGGTCCCGGGGAGGGCCCGGGAGAGAAGGAGCAGCCAGCGCTGCCCTACCTGTCCCGGCGGGACAGCCTTTCCCTGGCTGTGCGGATCGGGTGTGGGACAGCCTTTCCCTGGCTGTGCTGATGAGGTTTTGGACAGCCTTTCCCTGGCTGTGCGAATCAGGTGAGGATCAGCCTCTTCCTGGCTGTGTGGGTGAGGAGCTGGGACAGCCTTTCCTCGGCTGTGCGGAACAGGTGTGGGACAGCCTTTCCCTGGCCGTGTGGGTCAGATGTGGATCAGCCTCTTCCTGGCTGTGTGGATCGAGTCCTGGGACAGCCTTTCCCTGGGCTATGTAGATTAGCTGTGGGACAGCCTCTCCCGGGCTGTGCGGATCAGGTGTAGACCAACCCTTCTCTGGCTGTGTGGATCAGGTGTGGATCAGCCTCTTCCTTACTGTGTAGATCAGCCTTTCCCTGGAAGTGTGGATCGGGTGTGGATCAGCCTCTTCCTGGCTGTGTGGGTCAGGAGCTGGGACAGCCTTTTCCCTGCGCTGTGTAGATCAGATGTGGGACAGCCTCTCCTGGCAGTGAGGATCAGGTGTGGATCAGCCTCTTCCTGGCTGTGTGAATCAGGTGTAGATCAACTCTTCTCTGACTGTGCGGATCAGCCTTCCCCTGGCGGTGTGGGTCAGGTGTGGATCAGCCTCTTCCTTACTGTGTGGATCAGCCTTTTCCCGGCAATGTGGATCAAGTGTGGATCAGCCTTTCCCTGGCTGTGT